GAGGGGCTCTGGTGGACTGGACAGAGACCCTTACTCCTGACTCCTAACCCCCACACAGTGTCCTCTGACTCCAGGACAAACATCTTCCCACTACCCAAATTAAGCATGCTGTCTTCTGGATACCCAAGATAAGAAAGAACAAAACCAAACCAAAACCCAGTATGAGTTAGAGTTAAGACCACCTCCCCACATCATCATGGCCAGCTTGAAGAGACACTTCGCTTTTCTCCCTTCCTGTCCCGCATCCCACCGCAGTGGAGGAGGGAGGGTTGAAAAGAGGTGAGAGGGGGCCATTTGGAATTGAGTTGGAAAGTTCCAAACTGGGCTAGTTTGGATATTAAAGTGATTGGCCTGTTATTGGTTGGGCCCCAGATGTTGAGATGAGAAAGGAATTTAACTGAGTTCAGCTGGAAAAAAGATGACACTTTGGACATTTCAATTAACTAGTGGTGCATTGTACACAAGCGGTCATCAGTTTTAAAATGAATATAGTGCTCTCTCTGTGGCAAGCACTCTTGTAAGCCTTTGCGACTACTGTCTCATTTAAACCTCACAACCTCCGTGGAGACTGGATGCGATCATTACTTTCATTCCACAGATGTGGAAGCTGAGGCACAGGCAGGTGAAGAGACCTGGTCAAGGTCACTTACCACACAGCTGGTAAATAGCAGTCAAGACTCAAATGTAATAACACGCAGGCCAGCCAGAGCAGGTTGGTGGACGGAGGTGGGCTGTGGCCTGCCACTTTGAGGCTTGTGGTTTAAATGTGCATTGAGAAGTTCTGTGGGAAGGAGGGAAAGTGAGGGATGCTGAACTTGGGCAGACCCATGGCCCTCTTAGACTCATGCAGGTTCACAGATGGGCAGGGCCTTGTAACAGCCAGGTCCTTCCTTATCCCCGTTCTATAGATGAGGAAAACCAGAGGGTGCAGGGCCTTCTCAGGGTCGCCATGGCCCAGGCCCCTTCGCACCCCTCTCCTTCAACTGCTTACTTGAATATATACCCTGGGAACTAAGCAGCCTACAGTATGAGACCTCCCCTGTGGTTCTCATCTGGAGGAGAGAGGGAAAGCAGGACACCGAGGTCTAGGTCTCCTCCTCTTGGGGATGCCTGCTTTTCCCCAAGAGTGGATCATCCTGGACTGGGGAGCAGCTGAAGCTGATGGAAGCCTGGCCCAAAGGCTGCCGGGAGCAGCTGCACAGAGGGTGGGCGCTGACCAGGGTGCTGAAACGGCGTTGCGTCTTCCCGGAACGCTTACCTGAGGGGCCAGAGGGAGGTGGAGGGGAAGGCGACTCATATATTTTTGGCACCGAGGGGTCAACATGAGTGTTTTTGACACTGGATAGTGGGAAAGCCCTGGAACTAGAATTTCTGTGCTCTCTAGGTCACTTTACTGCTCTGGAAGTGCTTTTTCACCTGTTCATCAGGGAAAGTAACTCCCAACCTACAAACTGAGAAGGGAGAGGTGGGCACACCTCAGGCGTTCACTCTCACAGACTCCATCTTGGGCCTGTTTCTTTCTCTGTGGTTGGGGGTTGTGCTGGGATGCTCCTAACCTGGATGCTCTGGATGCTGCACCTGTAGGGTAGAAGTGCTGGGAATATGAAATACAATTTGCATCTAATTTTAGTCTTAAACCACGCTGGGGGGCATGCTCCTTTCTCACACAAGTCCTGACTTGATTTCCAGTTTCAGGAATGGGTTTTGCCCAGGATCCATGCTGGGTGTGGGAACTAGGTATGGCCATTACATAAAAGAACACTGGCTGTGGAACCAGACTGATCCAGGTTTCCATCAAAGTTCTGCCATTCCTGGAGGGGCAAGCCCAGCACCCCAACTGATGCTTCTTGTGTTTACCTCAGAGTTGGCCAATACTGCATGAGATGAGAAGTCCAGCATACTGGGGCACCAGGTAAATGCTCATTTCTTGCATGAGGGGCTGCACAAAGGTCCTGTCCTCCTGTCCGTGAGTCCCAGTCATATCTACCCAGTAATAATAGCTGGCACCCACTAAGCTCCAACTACCCATTTATAAAACATAGTATTTATTTGACCCTGAGGCAATCCTGAAGACAGCAGGGATGCTCACTTTGCAGATAAGGCTGGACACCAGCAAAGGGAGGCTGAGCGTCACACCCAGCCTGTTTGATTCTGAGAGCCCTGCTTGGCCTTGAGCAAAATACTAGACCTTCCCAAACCCTCTAAATACTGTTAAGATTTGAAGACATAGCAGGTTATTTTTCACAAGGGTACTTGCATACTTCAGAACTCATATGAAACACGGGAAGGGAATGGAGGGGATACAAGGGGGAAAAATGGAAAAACTTAAAATGTGGAGGTTCTTACATCAGTCATACTGAGCCAGGGACTAGGAAGACTGACTGATGCAGATCTTCGCGTCTGATATCCAGGTAAAGGAAAATGATGATTTGTGCACTAGAGCATCTCAAACCTTAACATGCACATGAACCTCCTGGCAAACTTGTTAAAATGCAGATTCTGGAGTAGGACCTGAGATTCTGCGCTTCTGACAAGTTCCCAGGTGCTGCTGGTTTCAGTAAGAAGGGTGTAGAACGTCTTCCCTTCCCTTCTCAGGAGTTCTGAGACTTGCCCATAACGCTATTACCTGAGGAACTTATAAAACACAGATTTAAAGTCCCCTCCGTGGAGGTTTGGATCCAAGTCCAATGCAGCCCAGGATGTACTGTGCATGTGCATCTCACGGGACTGACAGACTCAGGAAGGCGGGGAAGCCTGGCTGTGGTACTCATCTGTATCACAGACACGGGAGACACAGAGACTGGCTCCCCGGACCACTGATTGTCCCCATCACCTTCCTGATGGGGAAGTGGGAAAAGGGAATAAAGACATTGCCTCAGACTCTTTTGTAGCTATGGTTTGAGAAGTTCTAAGTAGCAGATGCACTCAGTTGAGCTTTGAACTTGGAACTGAACCTAGTGGGGGGCCGGAGGGGCAGTTCACTCTGGTGCAGGCATAGGCAAGTGTGGCTCTGGAGCTCCGTGACCCTCAGCCCGTGGCAATGATGATGTGACTGCCCTGGTCTCTGCATAGACCTGCACGGTGGCGGGACCCCGGGACTAACACTTCAGCACCCTCCCCAAGCCCATCACAATGTGACTTTCACAACACTCACCAATACGGCTCGTGTGGGCGGCCTCTCCCATGGTCATTGCTCCTCTATTACACTGCACTGCTGGTCTAAGCAGACACTGGGCTCCCAGCTTGGTGCCTCCCACTTGGTCCTGCCCTAGTTGGGTGTTCAAACCTCATGTCATTGTTAGCACTCTGGGGTCTGCCCTCCATCACATGGGTCCCGCTACCTCTCACTGCCCATCACTCACTGCCTGCCACTCCTGCCTTTTGACCCTCCCTCTGGGTCAGACCTAGGGCCAAGCACAGCTGACGTGATTTGGTGTGTGCCTGGTGAAATCCTGGAGACAGACAAGGGCTGGGACATGGGCACCTGCCTTTGACTCTGCCAGTGCAAAAAATGGCTAGTGGCCCATAAGATGGCAAGTTTTATGACAGAATGCTGAACATATGCATGTGGGGGACGTTCTTGGTGGTGGGACGTGTTTTACTGGAACAGCGCCAATAGACGAGATTAGGTGACAGGATATTACCTGTTGCACAGATTCTAATTTTCCATTTGCAAAGAGGGGTATGATCAGTAACAGAATATCATGATAAAAGGGGGGCCATGAGGGAAACTGGATTCTGAAGTGAGGGTTATGAGGCTTGCTACCCATTTCCTAACTATTGAGCAGCCAGCACGAGAACAGTTTCCACTGTGAACACTCATGGAGTCAGGGTCTCCAGGGACGCATGATTTCACCACGGAAGTTGACAGTTCATGACTAAGTAGATAAATGCAGTAAGCAACACAGCCAGCTTTCAAATTGAGGAGACAAAGAAGAGAAGGTGGAGATGTGGGGGCTGCCAGAGATGGTAAAAGTGGTCTATGGCATCCCACTGAAAACCAAGGACTTAGAACCAGACCTTTTTTTTTTTTTTTCAACTCACAAAGTCACTGGATGAACAGGAACATTTCAAACCCAGTGAAGTGATGTGATGAACCTCACTAGAGCTGGAAAGATCATGGTGATGTCCTTCCAGTCAGGACCTCTGTGCAACCCAGAATCTTCCCTCAAAGTCAAACTCAACTTCTCTGTGATTCCAGCCATTGTCATCCCAAGATGGCTACTACCAAAGCCATGGTCTACTCCCAAGGGGTAACTGGCTTTGGCCTTGGACTTGCTTGGCCTAAGTCAAAATTTCTTTTTTTAAAAAAAATAGACAAAGCGCAATAAGAAGCCACTTCACACCCACTAGGATGGCTATACACAACAAGATTGGTGAGAATGTGGAGAAATTGGAATCCTCTACCCCTTCTGGTGGGAATGTAAAATGGTGCAGCCACACTACAGAAGTCTGGCAGTTCTTCAAAACATTAAGAGTTACCATATGACCCAGCAATTCCACTCCTAGGTAATACCCACGAGAACTCAAAACATATGTTCGTAGCAGCGTTACTCAGAATAGCTAAAACATGGAAACAACCATTGTCTAGCAACTGATAAGTGAAGAAAGATGATATATGGCCTCATGATGGAATATTATTCAGCCATAAAAAGAAATACTGATGTATGTTATAACATGGATGAACCTGGAAAATATTAAGTGAAAGAAACAAGACACAAAGGCCATATAGTTTGATTCTACTTAAGAGAACCATCCAGAATAGGCAAATCCTTAGAGATAGAAATAGATTCATGGTTGCCTGGGGCTGGGAGGGAAGGGAATGGGGAGTGACTGTCAATGCGCATGGAGTTTCTTTTTGGGATGGTGAAAATGTTCAGGAATTAAACAGGGTGATAGATACACAACATTGGGAATAGATTAAACCACTGAATTGCACACTTTAAAAAGGGTGACGATTACAGGTCTGAATTATATCTCAATAAAGCTGTTAGGAAGGAAAAAAAATAAGAGGAACAGGTTATTAGTGCTGATATTTATTAAGGCTCCAACCTTTTAGGTTCGACAGAACACACACCTGAACCACAGCTATTCCTGCCTGGTGACTACTCACAACCCAGGGCAGGGAAGTGGCCCAGACAACAAGCAACGACAGCTTGACTTGAATTTCCTAACAACCCCATTAACTTTCCCCACATAAAAACTAAGGCATTGTTGTGTTCCTCAGTGTCCTTGATGCAAGGAGACCCACATACAAAAAAATGGCTGATTCTGCAGATGAATCACTGAAGTTTCTGTTTTCTGAAAACAGAATTATGTATATGACCATCCTTTTGACCTTTGCTACTAGAAAATTCAAGTAGCAAATTTATTGTTTCAATCTTGTCTTCTCCTTGAATCAGGGGCCTACCTTCCCTGCTTATCTGATGTTCTCTGTTCTAATGTTGGTTTTAATGATTTTATAATAAAGGATGCTTTTATGAGCAAGTTGCCCCAAGTTCTTCGGGTAGAAGTTATGATCCAACTTCAAAACAAGACCATTCCACCCATTTGCCAGCCTTTGGAAAAGAAGACTATTACCAGAAATGACATTTGTAGCTGTCTGTGTCCTCTGGGTCTTTCTCCAGAGCAGAGATGTTCTAAAGGCTTCAGGGTGTAATTTTCTACTGAGACGGGTTTGCTAGAAACGCCCAGCGAGCCCGCTCACGCTAGCTTCCCCATGCAGGCCCATCTCCACCTTGGACTGACCCCGGGCCTATGCGCCGGTTTAGCTTATGCTATCCTACTCCTGGGCAGAACAGACAGGCTCCAGCATATTAGCCGACACCTTCTGATAGTCTCCCTCTATAGAAGAATGTCCTAATTTAGGGGAAGGAACCCAGGGAGTTTGGAAGTGAAAGGAACCGCGCATGGCTGAAACGTTAGTTGTGTCTCGAAAGTGACTAGTGTCTTGATCTCTTGCCTGAGCCTGGAGCTCTATGGTGCTCTTTCCACTCCAGCACAGGAGTTCATCACTGACCACCTCTGTCAGGCTTCGGGCTGAAAATGATCCGGAGAACACCAAATGTCAGGTGGGCCTGGATGGAGGACATGGCTTCCAGAGGCTGGGGCTCCTCCAGGGGTGAAATTACTTCCTGGGTCGTTTCTTGTTTCACTAGCTCCTCCATCCACCCAGCCACTGGTTTGCAGAGACTGGGCTTCCTGTTCTTCCCAAAGTTCAGTACACACTCAAATGGAGCCCATGCTCCTGTGCTCTTCTGGACCCCAAGGAGGATAAGCAGAGTTACAAACAAGGCAAGTATCACACAAAGCCTTGAACCTTCACTCTTTCCCTTTGCCCAGAGTTCCTAGATGTTGCCACAGGCAGAGCAGACATCCAAATAATTGTTTTAGAGCAGGAAAAGCACCTTAGATTTCATAGGGGAGCAACAAAAGTCCTGGGAGGGAAAAGGACTTGCATAGGGTCATTTAGAAAGTTGGCAGCAAAATATGTGATTAGCTTTCAAGTCTGCTCTGTTACTCCTCTGTTTCCCTGGCCATCGCCCAGGCAGAGATGGGCCCATGGATTGGCTCGGACAGACCTGGACGGTCTCGCCCTTCTCAGATGATGCAGTCTTTCTGCAATGCGCCTGCCCTTGTTAAGTCATCTTAGTGAAACTATGGGGTTTTCAGTTACTCATATTCATCCAGAATGGGACCCGTCTTAGTGATGTCAAAAGCAACAGCAATCTATGAAGAAGTAATTTTTGAAGGGTGCCTGAAAAGCAAGAATGGGCCCAGGGTAGGAAAAGTCATTTAGCCCCACAAAGATTCGAATCAAAGGCCTCCAAACTGGAAGGAACTGTGCAGTAAAGAAAAGTGGGAGACGGCAACATGATTTCTGTATTGACATTTGGTTCTTAATAATAACATCCAAAATGCGTTCTGTTCTTATAGCGCTGCAAATGGGACTGCTTTGGGTTGAGGGTATATGTTGCCGCAGTCTCCTCTGGGAAGCAGGGAAGAGCTGGTAATGAAAGACACACACTGATTTCTCTGTGGGACCTAGATGCAGGCAGATGGGGAGCTGCAGGAGGTGCCTTGGCTCTGGTTGGTGGTGGGGAGCCAACCCCAGCCCGCCTGCAAACACATGGGCAGAGTCCCTTGCCCCCAGCCAGCAAGAACACAGTGGCTGTTAGGGTCAGCAGTGGCAGCTCCAGAAGAGTGGAGGGTAGGTTGGGATGTTACATTCTTGAGGCCTTCAGAGATACATGTCATCGTAGCCCGGCGGGGGGAGGTGGTCTGGGTTAGGTCTGGAATGCAAAGAGGGGCAGGTGAGTTGGAGAATGGAGGGGCCACGGGCACACAGGGCCTTGAGCTGAGGGAGCCTGTCTCCAGAACATGGTCACTCATGGAGTGTTAAGAGCAGATGTCCAAGAGCCAGACAGCCCGGGTTTGACTCTTGACTCTCCCACCTTGGTAACTATTAATTTTTCAGGGCTTTGATCTCTGCCATCTATAAAATGTGGAGTGTCATATCTGCCCACGAGTGCTGGTGTAGAGTCAGTGAGTTCCTGAAACATACTAAACTCTCTAAGTGTGAGTAGTGCCACCTTTTCTGAGTCCTCCCTGAAGAGCTGGGAGAAGGGAGGCACTCAGGGATAGGGAGCTTGTGGGAGACTCCGTGCTCCTGGAAGCAGGGCGTGGAGCTAGTGGCAACTGTGTCTGCAGTCAGATGCCTTTGTTTCTGCCATGCAGAGCTGAGCTGCTGTCAGGCCCAATGACTCAGCACACCTACGTGAATACCTACCCAGATGGACTGGTTCCAATGGGCCCAAAGGGGTCGAAACGTGCTCCTGGGGGCACAGCGCCTGGAGGAAGCCGGTTTGGGAGGCCCGAGGATGGGTCAATAAGTGCTCTTGGGAAACCAGATCTCAGGGGATCCACAACCATGCCACCTCTCCGACAGCTGAGGGAAGAAGGAAACATGGGTAAGCAGGCGTGGCAAGAGCAGCTGCAGGAGGTGAGAATGGCTTGGTGACATCTATGCTGGCTTAAGCAGATATGTGTGGAGAGCCGCTTGAGTGCCAGTGGGGAGTGGACAATGGCTAGAACACAAAGAATAATCCTTTCCTGGCACCTATGGCTTTACTTTCATTCATTCATTCATTCATTCATTCATTCATTTATAAAGATTTATTTATTTATACAAGCACTGGGTACAGTCAGAAGCACAGGAGGGTGAGAGAATTCACCAGAGCCAGAGCAGGGAGCAGAGCAGGCAGAAGGACTGAAGTACACTGCTGAGGGGAGCAGCGGGCGGCAGGAGAGGTCTGCGCGCCATGCGGGACCCTCCTCCGGTGGCCGGGGAGCAGCCTGGGATCGAAACGGCGCTGTAGAGGCTGCGGGCAGCCTCGCAACCCAGCGCCACCGGGGAGGCCCTTTACTTTCATCTTTTAAGGCTCCCTAAGTCCATAAAATTGAGACCCCCGCCATGTCCTACACCCAAGGTGGGGGGCACTAATCAAGAAGAGGTGCCCTAAACTGCCAAGGTCAATGCAGAGTTCTGCAGGGCACGACTTTGGGTCTCTGAGACTAGCTCTTCTGCAGTTTCCTTACAGGTTTTCAGGGCAATCTGTAACTGCCCATGGGTTGCCCAAATCAGGTTGCCAGCAGCATTTGTCCCTCAGAGTTCCAAGGACCAGACCTCGTGGCTCAAACCAAGATGAGTTACCTGATATTCCCCAAACGCTGAGGTCACTGCTCACGTCTAATTGCAGACTTCTGTGACTTTTCTATCTAAAATGAGATGTTCAACTCAGGGATCACTTTGCAGCAGAGTTTAAATCTATTCTGAAACACTTAGAGGAGACTGTGCATAGCCAAAGCTGTAATAACTTTGTTGGATATTCCCTGAGCAGGTGAGGTAATCTGAATGTCCCTGAACTGCCCCTAAGGCCTGTAGCCCACCACGTGCTCTTCGGCATGCACCTGATACACCCTTCCCTCGGGGTATTCTTCCATCCAAAGAGCGCTACTGCCCTGCCTCAGAGCAAGTGGGGTCAGGAAATGACAGAGCAGCACCTCCTGGGCTGGTTCACTCCCCTGCTATGCTCAGAGCCCTCCTACACTGCTCTGGGCATGCAGAGCAGAACAAGTGGCAAAGATTTCTCAGCCGCTCAGCAACCGCCTCCTTCACCCCAAAGGAAGAATGACGAAGAGTTCTAAAATTAGAAGATGAGCTGAGACTAAAAAGCCACGAGAGCAAGTTATGTTGTCGCCACCTCCTCAGCAGTACTCACCCAAAGGGGTCTAGGTCTTCTCCCCCGACAGCAAATGGGCCCAGGGGATCACACCTGAAACAAACAAGGGACAATTACCACAAATCCCAGAACAGCCTGGTGCCTGGACCCCAGGAGCCCAAACCCGGTGTGTGGGTTCACCAATGCACTCCCAAGCTCAGCGGAAAGGGAAAATCCTTGCGTGAGACCCTGGCGCAGGGGGGGATTCCCAAGTGGTGCTTGGCACAGAGGAGCACTGAGGCGGGCATGTGCAAAGAGATTTGTGTTCCCACACCTAATGATACAGAAAGATAAAATAATACAGAAAGATAAAAATATTAAAAGTGCTGTCAAATTTTATTTTATTCACACTTTTCTTAAGTTCCTATACTTTGTATAAAGAACCAAGAATGTCTGAATCAGAAAAATATTCTTAAAGCAAAGTGCTAAGATGTAAGCGCGTCCAGGGGTGGAATGAGAGAGGTGTGCACATGGAGAACAGAGCTTCTCAAGCTTCTATGACCCCTCAAGAAATTTTAATACCTCAGATAGTGTATGTATCTGCATGATAGTTTACTGGAGGGGAGAGGGCACAAACCATTGTAATCACTAAGATTTTTTTCATTACCCTTCTAGCCCAACAACCAAATTTTGCCCTCATGGAGTATAGCTAGGGCATAAATGAATACACGATCTCTGATAAACAATTCTGGGCATCTAACACACACACACACCCGCCATATATATGCATATATGTATATACATACACACATACACCTTTCAAAATTCTTAAGTATCTTTACATTCTTTGATCTATTTATTTTAGGTCTAGGTGTCCATCTTGGAGAAGGAATACAAAATTCAAATTAAGATATCATTAAGGACTTCAATCAAGAGAAGTAGAATTGAACTAAACATACCAGTTAGGGACATGATGGTATATCCCTAATGCAGCCATGGAGACAACGTTCTATTATTTATTTATTTATTTTAAGATTTATTTATTTATGCATACAAGAACTGGGGTGCAGGCCAGAGATGTGAGTAAGAGGATTCACCAGAGACAGAGTGGGGAGCAGAACAGGCAGATGTACTGAAATACACTGCTGAGGGGAGCAGTAGGTGAGACAGGAGAGATCTTCTGCGCCATGTGGGTATCTCCCTGGCCACCAGGGATTGAACTCATGCTGCAGAGGCTGCAGACAGCCTCACAGTACTGTGCTTAACCCCTTGCGCCACCAGGGAGGCCCTCCAAGAATATTTTTAAATAATATGGAGATGCTTATGTTCTAGTGTTAATTGGGGGGTAAGGGGAAGTCAACCATGAACAATGCATATGTGTGGGTGTGCCTGTATACACAGAACTAAAAAGAAGCATACTGAAATATAAACAGTGACAGTTACTCCTGGGTAGTATTTTCTTTATGCTTTCCTGTTTTTCTATAAAGGATACAGATATAATAAAACAAAAATAATTTAGTACTTGAAAACCTCTGCTTAAGAATCTGCTTGGAGCTCTGGCAAGCAATGCAAACCTGACAGTTCTGGGGCATGGCAGGTTCCTGCCAGACCTCAGGAAAACCTCAGCAGTAATGTAAGTTTATAGATAAGAAACCATTAATTAAAGACTGGGAAAAAATCCAAAAGTAGGTATTTTTCCATTCAGTCCTACCTATGAGCTAGAGAAGATATTTTGATTTAGGTAGATGTGACTAGGTTTAGCTTAGGGAAGGTGTTGCGACAGGCACTGTGTTGCCACTTTGCAGTGGGAACGTGATGAGGGACACAGCAGTGGTGAAGCAGGTTTGCAAGACAAGACTCTGCTACTTGAGCAGAAGTTCTTGTGCTACTTATTGAAAACACACAGGCTAGTATCAGCTGATCATGAGACAATGGTATGAGGAGTAGTCTGGAGGGTGGGACATTTTAATCATCATCAAGAGACATTTGTGTCAGCAAAGTATATGATGTAATCACAGGCAGTTATCCTGAGACCACCATGGAGATAGTCACATAACCAGGTCAACGGTGGCCTAGGTGTCCCCAGGCCTGCCTGGTGATACAGGCTATATATTCTGTAGATAGTCCAGGAACGCAGACAGCAAATAGGTCACAGTTGCCCATGAGTGGCCAGCTAGTAGCCACCTCTTAGGAACCCACAGGAAGGTTAGACTAGGCTCGGGAAGGAATTTTTCCTGATCTAGGTTACTGTTCTCAAGTAGTGATGCCTGGAGCCGGTAGCCAAAATTTCTGGTGGTCTCCAACATCCTACCAAACTAGGTGGTGCCGGAGGGCAGTGAGATCTTACCTGTTTCCATGAACTGTGCCCACACAGAACAGCAAATGGAAGGGGCTTATAGTGGTTATAAAAATGCCTGGGAAAACAGTGCCTTCATGGACTACGAAATATGCATTCACCTCCGCTTTTCTCTAGTGTCACAGAATGTTAGAATGTCAGTTTTGTTTTCAAAGTCTTTCAGTGCTACCCAGAGATTAGCCTGAGATCTGGCAGTGGGGTTATCCTATAATTATGTTCTTAATGTCTTTGATATGCTATTTAGTTTTACTACTGAAAGGAAGGTTCTTTTCCCTCAGTTTTAGATGTTTGTGAACTGCCACAAAGCTGGGGTGCAAAAAAATGGAGGACAAGAGGAGAGGCACAGGAGATTTTTTCTCCACTCCCTCTGAGCATTAGCAGACCAACTTCCCACTTCTTCAGCCAGAACTAGAGGACACTGAAGTGTCCCCTATCCATGCCAATGGCTACTTCCTAATTTTGAGTTTCCTTAAGTTGTAAGTGGAGGTCACTGGACAGAACAATGACGAATTCACTGTTAGTCTGCTAGTACTTCAAACTTTTATCACCTTCACCCAGACTACCAGCTGAATTTCTCAGTCCTCAAAGAGCTACTTAATGCATTCTGTATAGTTGCAGTGGGAAAGACAGGAGGGGCTGTGCTGACTTCAGAACCAGAACCTTCCAAACCCAAGTTCTTAATTACAGAACACCAATGTGACTGCCAGCAACAACACAGCTGCTAGTCTGCAGCCACAAGTGAACATAACACTCTCAATCTGCACAAAAGGCTTCAGCCAGACTGCCCACTGTGGTTCATAGGGCAGGCAGCTGCCACGACCTGAAGGTTTCCAGAACCTAACCCTGGATCAGCACCCACAACACTGTGTGACGCACCGAGGCCAGTGCTGCTCAAGCTTTAATGGGCACATGAATCAGTGGAGAGCTGGCTAAAATGCAGGTTCTAATTCAGAGGGTTGAGAGTGGAGCCTGAAATTCTGCATTTTTCACAAGCCCCCAGGTGATGTGACTTTGCAGGTCAGCTGGAACAACAAATGGCTAGGTTGCTTCCCAGCCAGGGTACAAGTTCAGCTGGGAAACACTGGTGATCTGGGATTATTTACTTTGCTCTACTTAGTGCAGAAATTTAAGGCTGGGAAAGCAGAGACGCTGACAACTGGCCAAGAGTGTGTGTACATATACATCAGCATAGCGCCAGTTACAGTGCTCTGAGCAAGCAGAAAACGAAACCTTCCCTTAATGAGGATATCCTATTAGTTCAAAGGTGAACCGGAGACTGAGGATGGTTGCGAAACACTGCATTCAGGGTAACGAGCATGTCATTCATCATCTAACTCTAACATGATTATTTCTGCTGTTCTAGTCTTTCATAGGCAAGTTCTTATATGATATTATTATAAATCATTTTAGATGTCATTACTTTCCTTCATTATGTCCTGTATTTCCCAAGTTGTCTTTACTATTACTATTTTTAATGGCTAAATAATATTTACTCAAGTAAAGCAAGTTTAAAAAATTTACTTAGAGCTCTCCTGCTCACCTGTGACTATGCAGGTACAGGTATATATATCCCTTTCTCCTTTCCTAATAAGCTTGTCCTTTTAAAATGTAAACATATGGGCCTCCCTGGTGGCGCAGCAGTTGAGTGCTGGGTTGCAAAGCTGCCCGCAGCTTCTGCAGCGCCGGTTCGATCCCCAGCTGCTCCCCGGCCACCGGAGGAGGGTCCCACATGGCGCACAGACCTCTCCTGCCGCCCGCTGCTCCCCTCAGCAGTGTACTTCGGTCCTTCTGCCTGCTCTGCTCCCGGCTCTGGCTCTGGTGAATTCTCTCACTCTCCCGCGCTTCTGACTGTACCCAGTGCTTGTTTAAATAAATAAATAAATAATCTTAAAAAAATAAATAAATAAAATGTAAACATAAAAAAATTAAAAATTTACTTAATCTTCTACCGAAGGTATTGGTATTGTTTTTGGTATGTGTAACTATAAATAAGGCTATAATTAACAACTTTCCCATGTTTTTCTCTGTTAGAAATTCCTGTCGGCCTCTGTACTACCAACACATGATAGAGGTACTGGGAACCCACAGCTTGTTTCTTTGGCCAACAGACAGAAAAGGCTGGTGCTCAGGAGACTCAGCCACACATGCCTTAAGTGAGATGTGGGTGTCCTTCAAGCCGGTGAGACTCAGCTAAGATTTCAGACTAAGCTGATGCAGTAATGAGACTGTTGGGAACCCTGGGGGAGGGAGACATATTTTGCATTTGGTAGTCCAGAGAGTAGATGCTGGTAAGCAAAATTTCTACAAATGGGCCCCCATCAGATTCCACAACCCCTAATGCCCAAATCCTTGAATATAATGAAAAATCAATCCTGTGATTGGTTTTTTTTTTTTTTTTTTTCCATATGGCACAGTTGACCTCAAAAAGGGGAGATTAACTGAGTGGGCAGCTAATCATAACAGTCCTTAAAAAGCAGAGGACTTTCTCAGGCTGGTGGCAGAACAGACGGTAGAAGCATGAGAAGGACTTCACCCCCCACTGGTGGCTTTGAAGATGAAGAAGCCCATGCGGGAAGAAATGCAGGTCTAAGGAGCTGAGAGAGAGGTCCTCAGCCAACAGTTCTCTCAAAGAAAAGTAATTTTGAACTAGCCATTTTCTCACAGAAAACCACTTTAACTTGTAAGAATGACTGATGGACAAACCATGGTTATTCAGATTTGGCTTCATAGTAGACATTTTCTCAAAATAATGTAAGAC